CCCTGCAGTCACCCATGAAGACAGCAGGAGCCTCCCCAACTCTTGGCGTTGGGAGTGGCAGGCCCCAGGGAAACACTGACAAACCACAACCAGATTCTTCTCTTGGCTTCTTTTTTTTGTTTTGTTTTTCCTTGGGAACCGGCACATTTTGCATTGAGGTCTGCACAAAGCCCAACAGCTCCGGTGTCAAATGGAAATCCAGCAGGCTCTTCCCAAGATGTACTGCTCCTTTTGTACAGGCTGCCGACTTGGGAGAGGAGGCCCAGGACATAATGCCCGCGCCTCTGGGGAAGCACATCCAGACAATGGTGTGTGTGTGAAAAGGGGAACAGATTAACAGGGACCAGGGTATCTCCCAATTGCTTTTCTTAAAGAAAGACTCTATTGCCAGGAAGCAAAGCACACACAAAAACAATACCTAAGCTAACAGAGTACTGGCTTTAATATACTCAGAAATAACAGAACACGGGCAGGCTACAACTTTCCAAATCCCCTCGAAAATCCTTTGAGAGAGCAGAGATGGTTTGTCAAATCTATACTCTTTGTTTAATACATTTGTTCTTTTGTTTGATCAAGGGGGGGAAGGCATCTAACTCATTATATTGGGGGAGCTGCGTTCACTCCTTTGTGCTTCTTTTTCTTCTTCTAATCTTTATTAAAATCAAAAGAGGAGCCACTCTAATCCTTCAAATGATAATTTATTTCTCAACCTACAAAGTCAGAGTCTTCCCTATTATTTTAAAAACAAATCAATGCAATGATTTTAATTAAAAATAAAACAGGGTGAACCCCCCCCCAAAAAAAAAAGAAAGAAATGGGCATTTGTTAGATCAACGCGCCGACTTGTTTACAATTAATGGGCAACAGGGCCCCTGGTGGTAAAGAAAGGATCTTAAAGCACCAGAATGTTTCCTTGTAGTGGGCAAATTCTCTGGACTTTCATTTGAGTCTTTGGAGAGAAAAACACATCTAGAAGTCTCCTAATGAAATGCCCTGACCCTGGGAAATTTTATGCTTCCAAATGTGCTTTCCCCCCTACTCCCAGCCCCCACCTCTGCCAGCCGCCTCCTTGGCTAGAAGATTCAGTGGGTTCTCTTTTAGCTGGGGTTATTCATCTCAGATAGCAGGGTAGGTTTGGTTTTCTCACAAGGAGTAAAAAAGGCTCTGTGTTAAGGAGACAAGCTTTGGCCTGCCCGTTGGTGGGTGGGGCTGGTGAAGTCGACTGATGATCTTTATAAAGGAAGGTTCGGGTTTCTCAGGAGCTAGAGAAAACCACATGTAATAGGAGGTGAACTTCCCTCCAAATACCGTTGAGGGAGCAAAGTGATTTCCTGAAGGGAAACCTAGTGGAAATTGAACCTTGAATATTGAAATGTATTCCGGGTGTGTTTATTTATTGAGGAGCTACTGAGTTCCAGCAAGGGTGTAGGGTCCCTGCAGCTAGTTCACTGTGGATCAGCAGCCACCCAGCACCCGCTCTGAGGCAGGCCTTGAGAGAGGAGTCGCATGGAGTTCAAGGGCAGGGTGCCGTGGGGGAGGCAGAAAACGTGAGGGAGGCTGTGGCTGATGAGGATGCTGAGGGAGAGGACCCTGGAGAGAGGACGCCCTGTTGGGGTCATCGCCACTTCGGGATTGGAGCAGGGAAGGATAGAGGGAAGAGGTTCATCTCAGATGGGCTTTCAAAAATGGAGCACCCGGAGGAGATAAACCCCAGGTTTATCTCTGAGAAGCCTTCTTGGAGCTCCTCATCTTGGTCCCAAGGACTCCCCTGCTCTGTACCGTGTGTCCCTTGTTGAGCGCTGTGCACTCCTGGCCTGCTGGCTCTTTCCTCCCTTTGTTCCCAGTGCCACAATGCCTTGAGAAGTGAACTGAGAGCAGAAGGCCAGGGTCAGATGCTCAGATTTCCAGGGCCAGGGTGGAATGAGACAAAAGAACCCTCCTGGGGGAAAACGCGCCAGAGCCATGTGTTGATGCCCAGACTCCTGATGGGCCCCCCGGACTAGACACTTGGATAATCTGTCCAGATCCTACTTCAGGAATCAAGGATTTGTCACCACCTGGAAGGATTCCTGTTGGCAGATGGCTCTCAGCAGCCAGCCCCCTCCTTGCCCTACCTGAGGCAAGGTCACACATCCTTCCGGAGCGCTCTGCACTCAGGGGCTGATTGACAGGCCGTACAACCCACACGGGGCAGCTGTCAATGGCCCCCAGCCCATCTTATAACCTGCAGTGGATTTTTGAGACCAAACTACAGGCTGACGTCTCCCTGAGTCCCAGCCTTCTTTCTTCTCTTCTTTTCCCCTCTATGTCAGGGGCTACTTGTAAGAAAAACCAACCTGCCTCAGCCCCTCGAGGGGCCAATCTCAAGGCAGCCAGATCTGACCTGCCACAGTCACACTTAGGACATCAAGGTAGATCCAAGGTAGATTATTATTATTATTATTTTTTTTTTTGTAAAAGCCGTCCATTTGAGAGGATGCAGATGTTTAATAAGTGCTGGGAACATGACAGAAAATTAGCAAATTAAGAAAAATAGCATCAAGTTCTGGTGGCAATTTTTTAAGTGCAGTATTCTGGGGACAATAAAAATCAGTACAGATCTTCTGGAAAGCAATTTGTTAACACAGATCAAAAACTATAAATCATTCTGAACTAGGAATTTACCCCAAAGAAATCACAGGAAAGAATAACATTCATCTATAATGTTTTTGCAACATTGTCTGGGAAAAAAAAAAAGTGTTACAACTTAACTATTGAACATCAGGGGACAGAAGGACTGCGCGAAAATTGGCATTGACGACCACAAAGATTAAAAGAAGGTGCAAAAGGTAAGTGGTTTTAAGTAAAAGAAGCAAAAATAAATAAATAAATAAATATCCGTTAGGATTATGACTACCTACAATCTAAGTGGATTCAGATACAGAAAATAAGTGAAGAAAACACAAAATGGTCTTGGTTGATTAGTTTTCTTTTTCCAAGTTTTATTTAGGGTCATCAAATGTTTTCCTTTTGAGATTTTAAGTAACAGGTGAATTGCATGACTGGACACCTTCTCTTCTTGTAAGAGCAAAAGGGAAAATAACGTGAAGAGAAGAGAAGACCACACCTCAATGACATTGGCCTGCACCATGATGTGACCTCCTCCTGTCTGCAGTCTTCTGAGGCAGATCAGGGTTTTTGAAGTAGATGGAGATAATTTGACAAGCTGCTCATTGAGTTTTCTTGCAAGAAGAGAATGAAGTCACAAGTCTCATGAGGGATCCGGGGTTTATTAAAATAAGTACTTGTTTTCCGTCCATGGAGGCCAAAGCAGATCACCCCATCATGCACGCTCTCCTGAATGCTACACTTAGTCATCACCCCAGAACCAGCAGCCTTCTTAAGAGGCCCCCCTCAGGAGTCTCTTCATACCACGCACTCTAACTCCTGGCACCTGGCCTCTATGATTGTGTTTCCTGTGCTGCCCATGTCACCCCCAGTAATGATATTTGCCATCATCATAGATTCTAGTGACTGGGTACTTCTCTGTTCCAGCTTCTCTGTATTCCTCTGCATTAAGCTTCTCATCTGCCTGGCCTCATTTTGACCATTTAGTGACATTATATTCACTATTTTTATTCTGTCTTGTAAGATGAAGACACTGAAGCCCAGAGAAATTAAAATATCAGCTCAAGTTCATAAAACAAGAAAGGTGCAAGACCAGGATTCAAACCAAGTTTGGAAACATTAAAACCCAGCTCCTGGAAGCTGTGTGGATTCAGACAAAAGTTGACATTCTATTCCTGCCAGTGAAGAGGATTTGGGGCAATTCGCTTCTGTTGTCTGCCTGAAAAAAAACCTCCATAATTCCTGGAAATATGACTCCTGCTTTGCAAAGCATTCATATTAAATATGTATTATGCTGCTTAGCTTGTCCTGGAAATGAGAAATTCACCTTTCTTCTCCTTCCTCACTTTGCATCTCTTTATACAAGGAAATTAGTGACCCTGGCATATGTAAGATAGAGGGCAGGGGAGAGGACAAGCCCAAAAGGGAAAGGATATGTGGGGGACGAATCGAGCTCATGTCCAGAGACCCAGAGGGGAATGCCCTGTGGAACTGAACTGTGAAGGCCTGGCCAACAGGGCTGTCTGTCCAGTCCTTCTGCCCACCGTGTAGCTTCACAAGATAATTAACATAGGTTAATCAGGTCAGCAAATTTGCAGGGCACTGACAAGCTGGGCAGCCTCAGGTTTGCTCCCAGTGGATGAGACCGTGAGGGCTCTCTGGCTGCTCAGATAAGCAAGTCAACTGGGAACAGTTGGTCTGCTCAGAAATCCAATGGCTGCCCCACAAGAAGGTCCAGGTCACCGGGATCACTGGGTGAAGGATGCTCAACCTCGGAGTAGTATAACCCATTGTGACCTGGCTCTGGTAGGCCTCAAATCTCCAGACACCCCAAATCTAGAATTAGTTCGTATTCTAAAGTCCTGGCAGCCATAGTATGTTTGATTGGTTTTGTTCTGATAGAAAATGCAGAGTAGAGAACATTAAGTAAAGTTAGTTTTCATAATTACAAAAGAGTCCAGTGTCCTTTAGAATGGCTAGAGGGGAGCCTTTTCTAAGATTCATCCTTCCTCCCTTCTCTCTCTCTCTCTCTCTCTCTCTCTCTCTCTCTCTCTCTCTCTGTCTCTCATTTTGTTTCTTGGTTTTGGTGGTGGTGATGTTTTAATTTACTGCACAGAACATAGAGGAAAGAGCTCAGAATTTGAAGTGTGGACAAGACTTTAAATCCCTGGTGGGCACTTAGCAGCTTTGTGACCACGGGCACCAAACTTAACCCACGTGATGTACAATGAGGGTGACTGCATCCACCTCTCAGAGAAGCCGTGAGAACAGATCGAATACATGGAGAGAAAGCCCAGGAAAGCACCCAGCCCTGGCCCACTCAGTCACTCTTTGTCTCTCTTTCAATCATTATCTTTATTATCACATTCTTGCCTTTTCTTCTTCCTTGTCAGGAGCAGCATCCACCAGTGCCCTGACTTGCAAGGTGCCGGAAAACACCTCAGCTGCTGCTAAATTAGGGGCAAGAAGGAACTAACTGGTGAGTAAGTTATTCTGGGGAAGTCAGGTCTTGTCAGCATGTGACGGGTTTCTTGTAGTCCGACATGTCAGTCATTCTTTAGGCCCTCAAATACCCAGAACCTCTCTGTCTGCTCAAAGGAACTGAACTATTATTGTCCCTCACAGAAGAAGAAAGGGGAACCGGCTCCTGTAAATGTGGGTCAGCAATCACCGGGGTGGTAATGACTTGGTCTGCCCTGTGTTCTCGGGCCCTCCTTGGTCCTTCCATAAAAGCCCTCTGTCAGGAGCCCTGCTTGGCTGTGGCATGTTCACCCTTTTGTTCTCCAAATTCCTGGATATGACTCATAGAAGGGTTGAAGCACATCTCCCTTTATGTTCCTAGGAATTTTCCTGACAGGAGCCGTCCGCATCCTGAAGCATTCATACTTCTCCCTGACTTCTCTTCAGCCTCTGCCTGTTGCCTGACACCACAGCAGAGCAGATTGAGGATGTTGGTGAGTCCAGCTGCTGCTCCTCAGAGGCAAGCCCCGCTGCTGGTGCGGAGGCGCCACCAGGCCTGGGAGTCACCTTCCTCTTAGCACTAGGGAGAGGGAGTCCCTGGGAGTGGCACTACCCCCCAGAGAGAATCAGTACAGCAAGGTTGGGGTAGGGGTGGGGATAAGGCATGGAAAGGGCAGAGGAGATATGGCAACCCGGTGCCTCCATTATTCAACTTCTGATCATGTCTTCTAAGTCATTTAAAAGCATTGATTTGGTCATAGAGGCTGTTAGTCCTAAGCCTTACCTAGGCAATGTCACCGCTCTAATTGCTGCAAACAGGTTGACTTACTTAACTCTCATAATGCCTCTAGGAGGAAATAGTAGTATCGTTTTCCATCGTAGGTGAGGAAATTAAAGAGCAGAGAGGGGATGGTGTCTCTGTCCACGCTGCTCGAGTGTGGACACCGAGCACTGAGCCGGGTGGTCGGATTCCACAGTCCTTACACCTGAATTCAACACTAGGGCCATCTCAATGTGCAGAGGTCGACATAAATGGAAGAGCTAGGAAAAGGGAAGGGAACAAGAGGAAGATGAAGGAGAAGAGAAGGAGGAAGCTTTACAAATGAGGTAAACGTTTTGCTAGATGTGGTAGTAGAAATTCTGAGTACTCTGGCATCCCAAGCACTCAGCCTTATGCAGGAGAGGCCTGTGGTCTCTCTGCCCAGCCAACTTCTCACCCACTGGGAAGGAGCACCATACTGAGAGCGGGGGCAAGAGTTCACAAAGTCGGTATGGAAATCAGTAGGTTCCCACATTCCTAGGTATCAGGAGAGAGAAGCCATTGTTTGCGTGCTCATTAGAACACAGAAAAAAAAAATACGTCCTGTCCTAATATCTTAATGAATCTGAAGTTACTCTTCCTCTTTCTTACTAAACACTTAGATCTATCCATAGGATTATTTGAACTTTTTGGTGCTGTAAAATAAGTCACTTGCCATAGTCCTTAAAAAAAAAAAGCCACTTGTCATGACACCTTTAATATAAGCATATTATTGTTCAATTTTTAAAATAAAGATATTTCGGGGCTGGGATGTGGCTCAAGTGGTAGCGCGCTCGCCTGGCATGCGCGCGACTCGGGTTCAATCCTCAGCACCACATACCAACAAAGATGTTGTGTCAGCCGAAAAACTAAGAAATAAAATATTAAAAAAATAAAGATATTTTACATTCTTGCCACAAAGAATGCAAAGTCCAATGATTTCAGAAAGTCATCAAGAATATCTAGCCCCATTACCAAAATGTCTTCAAAATGGTTGATTGAGAAATTCTCTTGCTCAAAATTTATTTCAGTAAATTTACTAAAGAGAAGGTAGGATTAATCACAGGAAGATCGATTTCATGTGACTTAAGACAACAAATATTAGGAGCAACTCAAATGTCCAATAGAGAGAGAGTCAAGTATCCTAGGGATTATCCCCTTCATAGAATAATATGCAGCCATTAGTATTCATAATTTCAAAGACAACATTGCAATTTGTGAGAAATGCTTATTATTTAATAAAGTACTAAAAGTAGAGCACAAAAAAATTGTATAGCAATTATTATTATCATCAAATGAAATACATTTTTGCATGTAAACAGAGACTAGAAGGTTGTTCCAAAATTAAATCGGATTTTATGATGATGGGATTAGAGACAGTTTTAGTTTTACATACGCTTTTCCAGTCTACATTAAATATTCAGTGCCCAAAGGGCGAGGCATTATACTGGATGCAGCCCAGGAAGAAGCTTGGAGTCAGGTAAGGAGATGGATAGATTTTTAGCACCATCACTGGGAACTGGGGAGATGGAGGAGGTAGATTGTTTTCTCAGGTGTGGGAACATAGTAGCAAAGGAGGACTGTAGAGAGAGGAATCGCTGATGGTTCCAAAGTTGCGACTTGAGCCCAAAAATATTAAACAGTAGTCACGGGACTCAGGAGAATTTCAGAGATGTTATCTGGGGAGGTGCCTATGAAGCACACTCCTAGTGGTATTCAGTTAGAAGCCAGAATACAAATTTGGGGTTCAGGCTAAGGTCTGACTCTGGTCTCTAAATTCCTAAATGTGTTTATGAAACCCTAAAGATCTAAGCTTGACATAATTCTTTAGACACAGTGTGGATCTCAGACCAGCATATCACTAGTTGAGACTCACCTTAGGGATTGCCAGAATTAGAGCTCTGTATTAATTTTCTGTTGTCACATAACATATTACTCCCAAACCCAGCAGCTTAAAGCATCTATTATTTCACAGTTTCTGTGGGTCAGGAATCTGGGTGCAGATTAATTGGATGTCTCTGACTCAGGATCCCTAGACAGGTACCAATCAAGCTATCAGCTGGGGCTGCAGTCACCCCAAGGCTCATATTGGAGAGGATCCATTTCCAAGCTCACTCACATGACTATTGGCAAGCCTAGATCTTCCCTGACTGTTGGCTAGTAACCTCAGTTCCTTGCCATCTGGACCTTTTTCTTGAGTAGTTTAAAATGAGAGAGTAAAAAAGAATCACGTATTTTTATAACCTAACTTTGAAAATGGCATCCCATTACTTCTGCTCTATTTTATGTGTCAGAAGTGAAATGGCAAATCCAATCCAACTCACAGGGAGGGAATCACTTAAGGCAATGAATAGCAAAAGGTGGATCCTCTCCATGTATGAATCATATGTCAAAATACATGCTACTGTCATGTATAACTAAAAAGAACAAATTAAAAAAATCTCAAAGGAAAAAAAAAGTCAGCCAACTCGGAGGCTGACTGCCACAAGTTCTACCCAGGTAGATGGAACCAGACCACCACTGCCATCTTTGCCATATCCACTCGCCACTCACTCTTTGGGAAAATATGGAGAAGTGGAATTTTGCAGAACCACCGAATGTCAGACCTTGACGGTTTCTTCAAAGTAATCCAGCTCAGAAAAGGTATCTGCCCTCTGGCATGCTGCCATTCTTTCTTCCCACCTTTGTGTCAGGCAAAACTAATCATTCAACACTCCCATATCCATGTTAGACATAACTAATCACTCAGGCACATTTTCCCACTCAACCAGGATCTGCCCTCAGAAAGATTCTCTTCAAATCCATCCAATAAGATACAGTCGATGGATAAAATCTATTTTCTGTTCCTGATTCAGTCCAATCATCTCTTACTACAAAGAAAAACTGAAACTCAGCTGAGTGGGGGAATTGGCCTCAAGTCTTACATTAAATAATAAAGCAGAGATTTGAATCCTAATCTGATGCCAATTTAAATTCTTTTCCTACTATTTACTGTCTACCCTTCAATTCTACTCCTAACTAGTTATCTTTCAGATCTATGTATTTCCTATGCAGTGTGATTTAATAATTTGAGTGTTTGAATCTCTCTTTCTCTCTCTCTCTCTCTCTCTCTCTCTCTCTCTCTGTGTGTGTGTGTGTGTGTGTGTGTGTGTGTACTCTCTGCTGTATTCTACTGATTAAAAGCAAAACAAGTCTAGCTCACATTCACATGTACACATATGCATTTACATGTATATGCATATTTTCCCCCTTTATTCTGAAAGAGATCATACCATGCCCACCATGTCAGAATAAATGTTAATAAATTGTTCCTGGAATCCAGTATTTGCTGGGGAGATTGTCTAAAATTTAAAGAATAAGGGCCAAGACAAAGTATATACAACCTGAATCTCCCTTACACCAAATAAGATCTGGCACACAATGTGCTGTAACACATGAAGAGATATCGATGAATGATTGAATGAAATTGGCATTTCTCAATAATTGCTCATTTAGGTGCCACCTCAGAAGTGTTGCCACATACCTGTGCCGTGTGAACTTGACTATCCTTTTTTAATTAATTCACTTTTTAAACCTAAATTATTTTAAACCAAAGGTGTAATTTGCTATTATAAATTGAAAAGCGTTTCTTTCTAAATGATATATCACATCTATTTGAAAACATCCATAAACCACCTAGAAATCATCTTGCATGCCTCCAGGAATGAGTGTGCCAGTAATAAATAAATGATAGTGAAATCCCATAGCATGTGTTCGTGCTTGGGACCTCGTAGATGGCTCAAGAGGCCCTTTAGAGAGCCAGGGCAGTGCCTGCCAGAAGGAGCCAGGAAAGAGTAATTGGTCCCTTTAACCCTAGGGAGAGATTATTGTAAAGTCTGTGAAATATCAGTTGGATTGGAAGAGGCGTGGTCTAGGCGGTAGCAGATGAGAATCCATTAAAATATTCTTTAGGGAGGCTGTTCTCACTCCCTGCCAGCTCACCAGTCACACTCGCTCGATCACTCATTCACCCAACACCTTTTCAGTTACTACCATGAGGCAGATCTTGTGCTAGGTTCTGCAGAGAACAAAAAGAAGAAGACTCGCGATTCCTGCCCATCAAGAGTTCACAATGCAGCAGAGTAGGGAGAAGAAAAAAGAAAACACATTCATACACTGAAAATGACTCTAGTGGAGGTACACACAAGATGCACAAGGTACTGGGGAAGCAAGTGACACAGCCGTGAAAGCCCTCACAGGATGCACGGAGGAGTTACCACCTGCTCCCTGTTACAAAGAACAGGATGTAAGGGCACTGGGCAGACACAGCACAGGCGAAGGCCTGGAGAGGGGAAAGACAAGGAGCAGGTCATATGTGTAGTGGCAGCATATGGAGCACTGGGCAGTGGCTACACCCAAGGAAGTGGAAGGGACAGGTGAGCTACTGAAGCTCAGGTTATGAAAGGCTGCTGAGTCTGGCCCTGGAATTTATCCCGGCAAAGGAAGTCACTGGAGGATTTTAAGCAGCCAGTTCTGTAGTTTGGAAAAGCCCATCCATGTGAGTGGTACACACACATGGGGAAGCAAACTCAGCTTTCTCATCTGTGCAATGGTCTCCGGAAGCCGCTCCAGAGGGATTGCCAAGGAATTCACACCTGAGTTTACCTTGGATCTCAGAAGAGAACAGCCAGAACTTCTGTGCAATTAAAA